GGCTTGGAACCGGCTAGAAAACTAGTGAGCTAGTAATCTAGGCGAGGTTCTTAGTCATTATTACGTATATAATACAATTAAATATCGCTCTTTTCGTCTGCAGAAGCCCTAAGCCAACTAATTATTCCCAATTTTTACAAAGATGGACGCGCATAACTCCTCTATAGGCATGAGTGCAATTACCCATGCAATGAGCAAAAATAATTCGCAATAGCATTTATTGTCACACGCTGTTATTTATTAGCATCTTAGTTTTTTGCGCAGATTGAACCTTTTGTGGTTCATCTTTGGCTGTTTTATATTTTTAGTTTGGATGTGCTTTAGTGTTAACTGTGAGTCATTTCGTTTTCAACCTTCACTCTGTTGATCTTGTTATACCGGATAACCCCGAAATTGTAGGATTGTACTCGATCTTGTTAAACAGAAAATTAAATCCCACAGCATTTTCAACTCTTTTGGTTTTAATAAAAATCTGTTTGGAACAATTCGGTCTTGTTCGGGATTTTGAGTTGATAACGGCATGTGTACACCGTCGCTGGGAGTTATTCGTGAAGAGGCCATAACGAACATATTAGGCATCTTTGAATACTTCCCCAAATTTGAACTGCGAACCATATTTTGTCTGAATAAAGTCAAAATATGCATAAATTTGTCAGCTTTAATTTCACTCAGTAAACAGGCCTACACTTTTTTAAATCGTCAGAGTTCACTTGCACAATCAACCTGTTTTGTGACAATTAATTTCATTACTATAAATCTGTGACGTTAAACGTCGCTTCTGACACTTTGTATCCTATTCTACAAAACACCCGGCTGTAGTCAGTTAAGATAACTTTGCAAACGGCCAGTAAATGTCAGGGTTATAAAAGCCTCATAATTTCATTCACCTATTCTAACTACCACAAATACTTCAGTGATTTAGTTGCGATGAAGAAAATTTGCAGCCCAGGTGTTTGATAGCCTAACATCATAACACAGTGGCAATAGGTGTCAGAATTGCCTGCTGGTGAACTAATGTACAGATACTGCTTATGTACATACGTTTGAAAGCTAAGTTCATTTCGGTTCTGGGTTTACTCTACTCAGTTTTCTCTGTACCTACCGGGATTTTTTAATCAGGTAGTTTAGAATCCTTTTTTTATCCATGACCCTTTTGTGGTGACTCCTTCATGCGTACCGGTGAGGCGAACCTTATCTACGTCAAATTCAAAACCTGAGATTTATTATGAATAAATTGAAATAGGGAAATTGCGAAAGTGTTACTAGAACAATGTCTTGATTTCTCACCTTTCGGGTATTCAGTGTAGAGTTCGCGAACTTAGTATGGATCAAATGATTTATGTTGCGAAATCTGTTGATCAACTCAAAACTCGACACAGATTAGTGTTAACTGTATACCATACTTTGTGAGTACCGAAACTGTGTATCTGTGGGACTTCTGGGACTTCAGATCAAGGCTTTAGTATTTAGCATGCAAATTACTGTAAATTTCACTGACGTCATGTGTCTTTTGAACGTCACTCATTTCACACCAACGGTTATCTACTTTCAAGGTAAATTTTAGAAAACTCCGCGTTGAAATCGACTAGTGTGATAGTTTCATGCTTATTATTTTTATACAATCTGTTAATTCATGGTTTGTACGATGGTGAGGTAATTCCTTCAAACACGTATCTAGCTAGTATCATACTATGTTGATATTTCGTCTTTCCGGATTATTAACAGTTGCCGGTGTCACAGCTATAGAATGCTCGCCGGCCACACATGTGGTCCGGGGTTCGATCCCCGGTCGGCGCACTCCTTTACCTCGCTAAGCCAGCAACAAGACTGGCACTGAGGGAAGGCTGAGCATGAGGCTTGTGACCACGCTCCGTAAAAATAAACACCAATGCTACCGAAACTTCGGGCCACTAGCCTGAATCCCTATGTTCCCCTGGAAAGGTAAAGTAATAAAAAAATTATTAACAGTTCACATTTATATTAACATTACAATATGACTAGATTTCACAATTACTTGGACCTAATGATACTGCATGTGTGACATGACATGAAATTTTTATGCTAATAATGTATTTCATAAGCCAAAACAAGAGTGAAATTTGGTGTTTAAGTATCTGCATATTCATCAACTTGCCCGTAAATGTGGCATGTTTGACACATGAATATAGAGTTTACGTGAATAAATCGTTATTATTAAAAAGGCCTCTGTGTATTCATTTAATGTTCACTGATATTGACAAGCATATTGGGGTCCACACTGGAGGCCCTGTAGGTATGACCGTGGTTTGAACTCCATCGTTACAGGAACCTGGATACAACACATGAATACATTTACGAGATATACAAATATCCCATACACCATATATAAGTGACATGACATTATGATAAATATAGGATGTGAATTCCAAGAGAGTGACTACAAAATGCTTATGTTTGCCTGACGTTTCGCCTGAAACCTAATTCCTGGTCTGGGCTGGTCGGTAACTTATATTGGTATGTGATTAGGCACTCACAGTGGAACTCACACATCATTAATAATTCCAGGGTTCGATATTTAGCTGACGCACTCATTCACCTCTCTGGGCCAGTAGTGAAACTGGTAGAGGGGGAAGGTTGGAAGTGAGATTAGCGACTCCCCCTCATAAAAATGAACGTCACTGCTACAGAAACTTCAGGCTTCTAGTTCGAGGCAATATGTTCTGCTGGGGAAGTAAAGGAATAGAAGAATCTTCACCGCATCAAAATCCACTTACGATGTCACTTCCGAAAGAAGATACTTGTCTAAAATGGTTCCAAAACGACCGTTTTTGACGTTACTAAATAGACGTATGAAGAAGTTTTCTATGAAACCTCCTTGACAGGAATTTCATCATCACTAATTTCTACCACCTTTATTCTGAGCGAAATTCCAAAAACACTGGAAGTACAAAACTTAGCACCAGGCTGTAACAGTGGGAAAAATACGCAAGTTTTTCAAAAATAAATCAGTGTATGAGGCACTTTGCAGTATTAAGCTCCATATAATAAAATTAGCATACCATGTATGGCAAAGAGGCAGCTTTCTTCGCAAGTGTTTAACTTACCTTTGCCATTAATTTTCCCCTAGTCACATGGACAATAATCTGAGACGTTTCATCTGACCATATTCACCCGCAAGTGAAAATGTTTAATAGCCTGAATCGTTTCAAAAGCCTGTACGAAACACCTTCGCAGATTGTAAAGTTAGGACGTTTTAATCAGTCAGCATACTATTGGGAAGTCTGTCATGAAAACTAGTGGTATGTAAACATATTCTGTGACGTATGTTTGAGACAGACATTACTATTGTAGTTTCAATAGAAATCTGGAAGCATTACATCGCAAAAAGATGGGAAGTGACGAGTACATATCATTAGACTATCCAGGTTGTCAGTTCTCAAGAACATAATGACATAACCGTCATCTAAATGCCTTGCATTGCTTTCTTTTTCGACGTCTCTATTTACTAAACTCTCGTATTTATTAAGTTACTGCCCACTTGTTCCACCTATACCTCCATCACTGGGTAACGCTAAACTAAAAGCATACGGGTCACGGACCATTACAGGATGATTTACTATCATCATCTGCTTCTCCCCTCTTCTCTAGGAGAAATTCGAGAGTGAGAAATGGTGAACCCTAGAGATAGGGAAATCTAACCAGGCTTTTACACCTGATGAATAGGCGAGTTCTTCTACGTTTGAGTACACAGATAGCTAAACTGCACACTGCTGATAGTGACCATGCAGCATATTTCACTGGCAAACCAGGTGCATGTCCGTGTGGCATTTTCTGAAAGCAGGGAAATCAATAAATGCGTAGTTACTCCCGGGAGTCTCAATACACCCAATCCAGATTGCATATATCTGTCTTTCTATGGAATGGTGGCAATAACATTAAACTGCTCCTCCCAAATTTTCCCTTAAGTCGAAACTGAGAGTCATCATCCAATCAACATCATCTCCATCATTTCATGTGACGGAATCAAACACAGAGCGTGAAACCATTCATTTTCTAACGACTAACAGTCCTAAATTGACGGCTATACATCGTTCGCAATTTAAATATTGCTAAATACATCACCGAACGAGCAGATAATAGGCAAACATTGATGAAAACATAACATGATGTTGGAACTGCTTCTGACAAACTATTACATTCTTAATTTATTTTATTTTGTTTACAGCTTGATGCCACACCGTATTTTCAGTACACGTATGGAATTTTCAGCATGGATATGGGTAGCCCAAATTTACAGGCCGACCATAGATATCGGGTGTGCGCCGGTAGAGGATCGAACCCCGGACCATGTGCATGGTCGGCGAGAGTCTTAACCACTGTGCCACCGACGCACAGTCCAATCAAGTACATAGAAGGCATCTTGCAATGATATGTCCTGGGTTAGTAGGGTGTAAACGACCGATCAAAACTGACTGGTGATTGTCTAAATCTAAGCAAAAAACCTGTGGTTCCATCTACCTCACCATATTTCTCCGCAATGGCAAGCTGGAAAGAGGATCACCTTTTAGAAGCAGAGCAATATTATGTTACACAATCAAGTTAGAATGGCATAACTGTAGTTGCAACAACATCTCAAATGTACCATCTAACGGTTGTGAGCATGCAAGTGTGATAATCTGCACTAGAACTGATCTCGTTTGCCCCATGAATACTGCAGGCTACAAATTTTGGAGAGTTATCTACCACTCCAGGTGACTTATATATTTTGAAAGTGTTGAAAGATGTATCACAAATATTTCCCTGTTTTCAGACTGATTTCATTCTGTGTGGTACACACTTTGTAAAGTAATGCACTTTCACTGATATTATTGAATTATTATGATAGGATAAGCAGTACCTGAACTCCCAGTTACTGTCTGAATAGGAAAAGAGAAAGCACTAATATATACCGAGCAAGAGATCACACATTCCAGGCCATTTACCATCAATTTATATCTCAAAATTAATTGATCATTGAACTGATGTGTGCTTGTTTTGAAGCGTGTACATACCTCCAAGTACACGTATGTTTTCCAGAACTTTTGCGTTGCTAGTCAGTATTATGTTTCATGTAGTAGAGTGGTATTATAATATACGCCATTACTAAATGTCTAAAGTTTTTGTGATTTTCATCTTTTAGATTTACTATATTAATATGCGACGTTAGTAGCGCTAATATTCAACAGTCTTTATTGTTTTCTTAAGCTCATCAATTGGAACTGGTATCATCACAAGTGAATCTCGCTGCATCAAAAATGCCAGGAAATGAGTTGTCCGAAATGTTCAACAGTATCCCACCCGTCACTCGATACTGGTTTTCGGGCACAATATTGTTCTCTCTCCTCGGCAAACTGAATATCATTGATCCCATGCGTATGATTTTGCTATGGGATAGAATATTTTCTCATTTCGAGGTTATTATGAATATTTTCTAATCGCCGTACATTTAGATATGGAGACCAATTACAGCGTTGCTATTCTACCCAGTCTCTCCTTCCACTGGATTTCACTTTTTAATCAACCTGTACTTCTTGTATTCTTATTCATCTCGGCTGGAAAACGGTTAGTTCTCTGTTCATTTATCACTTATATTTTTAAGGAATGTTCCTAGGACGCACTGCGGACTACGTATTTATGTTCATGTTTACATGGCTAACACTTGTGGTATCCTTTATTAAGGTTAATGTTACACTTTTGTCTTGTTATTAACTGCCGAAATACCAAGACCAGTTTCACTTGTATTGTTATCAGTTTTTAGATCTGTAGTCTATATTATTTGAAAATACTATACAAATTTCCTTGCAAATAAATCAGATTGAAAGGAAAGGTGTTTAGGCTAAGCAGCATTTTGATTCAATATTAACTTCCAAGTCATGTTTCAAGTTTGAATATCAATCAAGTTAGTTAATTCAGTCTTAAATGGTGTTAGTTTATTTGCTACACTCGTTAAATAATAAGTGTTTAGATAATTTTCCTACATCTACACGATGTGGTTATGTATGCGCCACTAACATTTGCTTACATTAATGTTTTTTAGATGTGGGATAGGGAAGTTGTAAATAAGTTCATATTCTCTAATTAAGAACGGAATTCCGACACTGCTCATGCAAAGCTTTCAAATATCATGGCATAACCACTGATACACTCATTGACGTATTCATTTCAAAACTACTAGTGTTCAGAAGAACAAAGGTTTCACGTTCATAGGCAGTTGTTAGTGCAAATTTTATACAACTAGTTCCTAAATACTCTCAGTCGAATGACACCGTGACAAAATGTGTATAGGTGGAAACAAACTAGAAAAAATCTCGGAGGTTAGGTCAATGAAACTATTTAGCTAGGATAGTGGATTATTATTTGTCGTACCTAAACCGTTATATTCACCTTTTTTGCTGATCGCTTCATTTGCGTGCAATTTATAAATGGTTACCTTTTACACTGCAGAATGTTACCTCAGGAAACTGCTCCGAGGTGTTAATGGCATGACATCACGTCAGTTGCTTACTTGTTTTTAAAATTGACAGGTCAGTCAAGCAAAAGAAAAGTATTAAAAACGTCATTTTTACCACTTTTATATATAAAGTACAACTCTGTGGTTGGCATTTTGTGTAAGCTGTTAAAAATTATTCTTGGTAGAACTCCTTGACTCATTGACAGATTGTGAGCTTTTTGGCTGCATTTTACGTAAGTTGAACATCGGTAATTTAATTAATTTGAGAATATTTTTCATTTTCTTAATCGATTTACAGAATTCAGGCAAAAGTGTCAATAACCTGTGCTTACTTAGTGTTAATCGCCCTATCTCTAGCTATAGTTTCGATTTGTATCTTAAAGTTGTTCAAACCGTTGGCTTACCGGCGTCTTCTAAATATTAAGGTGTAGACCAACATATCATGCGTCTAATTTGAATAATATGGAGTTTTTCGAGCTATTGTACTGTAATCTAAAATTCAAATTTACATTGCAGCTATCAAAAACACACTTCCAATTTGTTCTATTTGCAGTAGGGAATTGTTTTCATTGTTTTAATTAAAACACTACAGGGAGTAGAAGGCGTAGATCGCACATGTGAATAAAACCCAAAAGCGTTGCATATTTTAAAAAAGTGGTATTAAAATGCTCCAAAGTGAATCCGTGAGACTTCATTCGAACTATGTTCTTTTTCCTCACCAGAATATGCTGGTAGCAGTTTCAGGAACCTGTAGAGAAAATATTCCCCCAAGGTCTTGAAATATTTAAATATGAACTTCAGAGTATTCGTAGATATAAATAAACAATTTTAAACATGTTGCATTGTTTTCATACATTTACTTCTGGATTATTATGAAATAAATTAACGTCCGTGTATTTTGGCACTCGCCTAAAAATGAACTTGAGCAGTCATCTTCGAAATTCAACCTTCTCACTCAGAAACGTTACCAGAGTTGTTTCATGTACTAGTTAACCATGTGCTTCAGATGAAACGCATGAATTTTTGTGCTTGACTAATACAGCTAAAGGTATTGTCGTAGCGAGTACTTCTTCATCCCAATCAATCAGATCTCTATTCTGATTTGTGAATAATCGATGAACAATGTACTGTTTAGTGTTAAAAGGTGATCAGTACCCGCGATCATGCATACAAAGTAGGCACTAAACCAAAATGCATCACACATTGATCTTTTTTTCGATTGTATCAGTATTATTGTTTGTGTATTTAACTGCTTGCTTGTGGGGTAATTTCAAACTAGTCTGCGCCATTATTATTCATTCATGAAAGTAAATGGCATCTTACCAGGTGGGATTTAATGTCATGCATTCGCTCGCAGTAAACAGATCCAGTCTAGTTTCCATCCAAAATGAGTCACTGTACCACGGACATACAGTACATTTTGTTGTCAAGGTGTTTATTAGCATCTAAAAAATCTCACTAACAACCAGCACCAATTCACGATTTCACCAGCATCTTGTAGTTTAATTTTAGCAATTTATCTACTCTAATATGTCTGTAACCTTCACGTTGGGTCTTCTCATTATATTTACATTTTTCTGCTGTAGGTGCTTTTGGAACCAATGGTACTCACAGTACTATACATATGGAGTCAACTTAATCGTGATGTTCCTGTTCAGTTCTGGTTTGGTATGCAATTTAAAGCGATGTACTTCCCTTGGGTGTTAGTAATATTTAACTTGATTGTTCGCGGCAGGTTAGTTTACGTGCATATTATAAATTACTTCGGACCACAGTGCAATGATGGAACTGGTTGGAATAATCGTAGGACATCTTTACTACTTCTTCGTTTTTCAATATCCACAGGAATATGGTGGTCAAGCAATACTAAAAACTCCTGGGTTTCTGTAAGTTCCTCATATTTGTACTCGTCAAACTTTTGATTATAATTATATTGTGTGCTGGGGTTTCATAAGAGAATATATATAGATGGTGACTTTAATAAGAATATTAAATTATTTTCAAACATACAACTGATGTCTGTCTCATAGTCAACCAATCGTAAGATTGGTATTGTCTTGCTTTAGCTGCTCCAAGTAGAATTCATTTCACCTGCTGTCAATCGTTCCAGCGCATAGTGGTTCGACTCAGGTACATGTTGAAGTTATTCAAGTAAATGACGAGTTTTCTACTTTATGACAAAAGTCGGAGTGCTCAGGCTTGAAGTTTCCCTAAATCTTTTCCAATGGGTACGATTTGTATAACAACACTTATTCTATATTTTTGATGAAAGCGTGAGATGCATAGTATCGGTGTTTTCTAGTACTTATCATTTAATAACAGTGGAGCATAACTGACAGTCCTTGAGAAATGTTTGACTGCTGCTATACCAAGTGAAGTATGTTTTCACCTTCGAGCGTCATATTTTCCTATATAGCCTGCTAGATTACGAAAAAAATAAGCCACTTTTGGTCGCATTGTCTTGAGTGTATCAATACCTCAGTTAGCAAACATTCCAGGTTAAAAGTATCACAGTTGACACGCGACAGCATTGAAAATAGCAAAGTTAGAAACTCCTGCGCTTATGTAGAAGTTTCAGAGATATCATTTAAAACACTCAGTCTACCATAGTTCTTCTGGGTTATCCGTTTCATGCAGTTCGACCTCATCATACATTTTGTTAGGAGAATTCAACGTGCACGTAGGCAGTACGAGAAATCTGCAGTAGAGTGGTTCTTTATGTGCGGCAGAACTTCCTGATGAATCTTATGCAATAGGACAGTTTGTTACAGTATGCTGGATAATAATCTAGTTTTTAGTTATGGTACGCTTAGTTATAGTCACTTCAACAGCTTTACTTTACACACTTACTGAGATCACTTTTCAGCGGTTTGCAATGTTGATATATCCAGCTTATTTTTGATCCCTTTTGTGATATGCGATCATATGCTTCGATAGCAATATTGGTTAATTTTTGTTTCAGATACAGACTTTTTCCGAACCAACGAGGTGTTGTAACTGGCTTTGGAGAGGCACCCCGCGCAAGACAGCAGACCGCAACAATTGGGAGATTTCCAGGCCGTGGGCAGGTATTGGGAAATACTGACTAAGAAAGCTATGTATTTAATGACAAATCTGTTGTTTTTTTAATGAAAAACTGCACATCTTTTGTTCATAACAATTAAAAAATGTAATAAAAATGAGATGTTCAGAGTACACCCGCTTCTTTCAGATGACTTTTCGTTGCATTAAATACAGGGTTTCAGATAACAGTATTGTAGATGTGAGGCTAGGTACGTTATTTGGCATTTCACTTCCGAATTGACATGAGTATGATAAGAGACTTTAACGTAAAACTAAAGTTACAACACGCATTAAAAGTACATAACGTTTACATGAAATGTGCAGACCCAATATGCAGTTCAGTTGCCACTTCTGCTTGAAAATTAGGACTCCACAATGTCATACATTATATGTCAATCACAGCCAAACATCAAACGGAATAATCTGACGGTGTTTTATTGCTGAGGCCTCTTTCTCTGGAGTGTACATGCACATCTCCCTGTTTCATTACCACATAAAGTAGTTCCCTAGATCAATTACATCAAATTGAAAAGCTCTGTGCACAGTGCCTCCTCAAACAGTTTAAGAAGTCTTGTTCGAATAAAACATCTTCACTGTCATGAATTCAAACCAAATTTTGTGGCTTAGTTCTCAGCGAACAACCTAATCACCGCGACATACAGGTTAACACTCGTTTCAAAACCAGCATTCGTCCAAGTAGCGAAGCTTTCGTCAAACGACAAACTCAGATGTAAACTCCTGTCAGCTAGACACCGTCTTCAAGATCTCTTGAAAAACAGAGGCGAATATTGTAGTCAACCAAGATTACATTCATTAGTGTTCATAATCAGACTAAATAAGAATGGTGACAATGAGTATCCCTGTTGGTAGGCAATTCACACAACAACTCTCTATAAACTCGTGCACGGCCGCATGAGTATGAATACAGTGTCGTGATTAGCATAACAAATATTCTCGACACTTATTTTACAAACGGACACCAATACAACGCCACCTTTAGGTTAAGCAAAATGGTAGAGGCTGGAGGCCCTTAAATACACCTCGAGAACAGAACTGATCAAACCGTAGATATTTGATCAGTATACCTTCGCCAAGTTTAAAGCATTGATTTCTTTGTGTTGTATCTGTCGGAGGCCTGAAGTCTTCGCATAGCCCCAGGATCTATATTTTTGAAAGATCTATTCTAGTCACTTGTTATCATCACCAGATTTCCTATGAACAGGTATGTTTAGCAGCCTACGTGTCTGACAGACTAATAAACAGACCAACCCCTTAGTTAATTTAGCCAATTGTCCATCATTGAATATTTATTCGGTTATACCAGTAGCATGCGGAAGCTTTTGCAGCCTTGATTATGGTCGGAAGACTGGTGTATACATCCTATCGAAATGAACTGATTTTTCAAGGTAGAACTCCAAGCAAATGTGCAGTAGCTGTGAACTAAATCGTCTTGACTTCCAGTTTCTGCAAAGTTTCATTCTCGGAGATCACTTCACTTACTACAGCTCTTTTTAAACACATCCCCTTAAAAGCCTAAATAGTTCACAGGTATTAACCTCTGCTAATACCTAAGCCACTTATTCACTTGTGGTCGTTGCAAAGACTATCAGTTAAAATACATTTCGGCAACATTAGACAACTATTCAGGCTTATCAGGGAAACAGGTGGCAAAAGATTAGCGAAACAATCTCGGAGAAAAATGGCACCATAATTAGCTCTCAGGATAGACGACTGGAGCGCTGGAAAGAACACTTTGAAGAGCAGTTTAATTGGCCTACAGCCACACTTAACCTGCCGAACATCCAACACCTCCCTGAATGGAATGTAGACACAGGTTTTCCGTCCCTAAGTGAGGTTACCAAGGCTGTCACTATTCTGAAACGAGGCAGAGCAGCAGAACCTGATGGAATGACGTCAGAAGTATTTAAGTACGGTGAAGACAGTTTACTGCCTGCGTTAACTGAGGTACTAGGCAGCGTCTGGGAATCAGAGAAAGTCCCGTCGGGTTGGTGTAAGTCATTGATTATTCCAATACACAAGAAGGGAGACAAGTCTTCTTGTGATAATCACAGGGGGATTAGCTTGACCAACATGGTATCTAAAGTCCTAGGCTCAATAGTCATGCATAGATTAAGCGGTCCACGGGAGGTTCACACACAAGAGAACCAGGCAGGAAGAGGGTGTATTGATCATATCTTTACTCGTCGACAGATTCTGGAACATAGGCGTACTTACCGGCGTCCAACAATCTCTATATTTCTTGACCTAAAGGCGGCATTCGATTCTGTCGACCGAGAGGTTCTCTGGCGATGCTTGGCTGTAAAGGGAATGCCGAGAAAACACATTGCACTGATTAAGGGACTCTACTCGTACTCATGCAGCCAGGCGAGTTGTCATCTGAAGTGATGACGACTAGTGGCGTCCGTCAAGGATGCCCATTCCTATTCAAATTCATCATAGACGTACTAATGGACTTAACCCTAACACACTTCAGCGACTCAGGGATTGACTTGCTACCAGGGAATAATCTGGTCGACTTAGAATATGCGGACGATATAGTCCTTCTAGGCGACGACGCTAACAAAATGCAGAGTCTACTGAACACCTTGAGCAACAATCTTCATATGTTTGGCATGCGATTCGCCCCTGCAAAATGTAAGATGATGCTGCAGGACTGGACTTCACCGACCCCTAGATCAGAAATAGGAAGTGAAGTGGTAGAGCACGTTGACCGCTTCACTTACTTGGGAAGTACCATCAGCCCCAACGGGTTGATCTTCGACGGAATCTCAGCACGAATACAGAGGGCTAGTTTCGCACATGCCAGTTTACGCCGTCTTTGGCGTAGACGCGATATCCGACTATCGACCAAAGGGCGGGTGTAGTGCTCATCAGTCCGCTCCGTCCTCCTTTATGGCTGTGAGACCTGGCCATTGAGAGCAGAAAACATGAAAAGATTAGCTGTCTTCGATCATGGGTGTCTGCGTTCTATCTCCCGCGTGAAATGGTATAATAGGGTGAGCAATATTGAGGTTAGGCGTCGAGTGCTAGGTAAGGCGGGGAAATCAATCGATGAGACTGTGAAATTACATCGACTCAGATGGTTAGGACATGTGCTACGTATGCCTAGTCATCGCCTTCCTCGACGGGCAATGTTAACTGATATAGGGCCAAACTAGAAAAGAGCTAGCGGCGGTCAAACGAAAACATGGCACCAGTCAACAGTTAGTCTAAGCCACATAGGAAGGTGTAGACTTCCTGGTTGGGATCCTCGAGACGGTAAAAACCAATGGTTGGAAACAATTGGTGACATGGCTCAAAATCGTTCTCGATGGCGCAGATGCATCCACTCCTTGTGACCTATGATTTCCAATGAAACTGTTTTGTTCTTCGTTATTACTATTCCTTTGTCTCACACCTCTGCTTACTGTCTATATTATGCATTTCCCCTACTTTCTTCTCTTGCTTTGTGTGCTACATGGAGTGTGGCGACTTGAACTGCCGCACATCTGTGCAAAGTTCTATGTCGAAAACCGACCGACATTTCGGTAGCTTTCGCTCCCCATCGTGTCTGCGACTCGCCATGGTAAGTCTTCTTTGTCCGGACAAAGCAGCAGAGATTCAGTGATATTATCACTTAGCTATATGTCACAAACAGTCTTTACGTCTCTTTCTACAATGCACCGGATACGACGCAAAGCTTGTCAAAATTATTGCTGCTTCTATGTGTTCAATTATCTTAGAGCTTTAAACGTGGAAGTTCATCATGTTAAATCGCTACACTTTATAAAAGCACACAGAGATATAAAAAAGAAGAGAACTATGGTAACTAAAAGAAGAGTTGATACATTAGTGACACTAAGAAAAATTTCGTGTCATGTCACTAGCAGTCTCCAACCATTGGTTCTCATTGTCTCGTTCACATTAGCCAGGTAGGTTTCATCTCTACACGTGAATGAAACCAACAGTCGATGACTCCATGTTTTGGTTTAAACACCCCTAACTCTTTTCTCACCTTAACTTGTGTCACCCAACAATGATCGAAGATACCGGCTTGACAAGCGTAACACTTTCCAACTTCATCGACCAATTTACCCGAAACCACGTTTAACCTGAGTGTTACGCAACATATCATGACAATCAACATAGCAGCACAAATACTTGTAGTCTCAAAAACAGGTAAGCTCTTCACATCTACTTTCACGGTCCATGTCACACAACTAATTGGACCACTTCACTCATTCGGGATGTTGCATAAACCCTAATTAACCGATTGCTGACAAAATCTCAACACATGTACAAAAGGCTCGTGTGACATCCGTCAGCTTATGTCTGGTTATCAATCAATGGAAGTGTGCACTGCACAGCAGTTCGCCCTGCCCTCCATTACGGCTATGAGACATGGCCATTGAAAGTGGAAGAAGCCTAGCTAACTGTCTTTGATCATAGACACCCGAGTTCTATTTCTCGTGTTGTGGTACAATATGGAGCTTAGGTAGGGGAAGGTAAGTTAAACTATGAGGTTGTGATTCACATGGCTAGCACACGTGTTACGCCCAGCCATCACCGTCCTGGATGAGTAATATCAGCTCACTTATGATTAGTTTGGAAGAGTTACCAGTGGTCAAATTAAAACCTGGCACTTATCGATGAAGACATTGGCAGCTGGTTTAAGCCATATAGGAAGGTATAGACTGCCCGGTTGGGGTCTCCGGGATACTAAGCGTAGATGACTGCACTGTTGGTGATGCCTCAAAATGGACTCACCCTCTATGACCCTTATATCATCTAAACCCTTGTGTTTTCCCATGTTACCATTTCTTCTGTCTCACATATCTACTTACTACAATTCTTTCGAATCCCTCCTCTCTCTTTTGCCTGTGTCTGTGTGCTACACGGAGTGTGTTACCTTGAACTGATGCACTTCAGCGCAAACTTCTATGTTCAAACTTAGTCAGCAACTTTAAAACATAAAATTTTTCCGATCATTTTCTAATTTTCAGTTTATGAGTATCTATTTCACTTC